TCCTGACGTAATGCTTCAGATCAGATTTGCCGACGTGCATTTCAATGATTTGACCGTCAGACAGGGAAGCATATTTGGTCGGGTGTCCTGCACGCGTGGCTTGAATAAGCAGCGCCATGTCGTCCTTGTTATACACGAACACAGCAGCAGACTTGAAGAGAGCGTATTTTGGATGGTGATCTGTTCGGAGAGCCGCGTTAAACCTGGTTATCCAGTGAAAGATGTCAAGCCGCACCATCATGCCGCTGTCGGCCCACTCACTGAACAGCTGCTCCAAAGATGAGACACCGTGCACACGACAGCAGCCGCGGTCCACGTACATCAGTTCAGGAGGGGCCTCATTTGCTCTCCTATATCTCGCCATGAGGCCATTGTCATCAGATCTGCCATTCTTGCAGATCTGATGACATACACAGAACAAAGTGACTGTTATAGCTGCGAGCCTCCTCACTTTGTGCAACACACTGTCACATGTTGTCATATATTTTTTTACAGTTTATACAGCCGAGGAATGCCCCTTAAAAAGCGATACAATAAGAGTATATAACGGCCTGCCGTGAGCTATTGCTTTATTACTGTTGTCGATTAATTATTAATTATGAAATGATATGACGCACATCGAGACAGCAGAAACAATGTTGGAGGTAAACACTGAAGTTTGTTTGGCAATAAAGCTTATTTTAAACAGAACTTTTAGTTTCTAAACTGCCTTCAAATTAAATGACCATTGCAGCCAAACGTCATCTTCAGTACACACTTTAGTTCAATTCAGTGAAACATGTTCCCCTTCAAAAGACTGAGTCAAATGACCTTCCTGGTGGAGTCGTACTTAAGGACTTTGCCAAACGTGGACATGATCTCGATGTTCTCTGTTTCAGCGAGGAGGAAGGAAGCACTTCCTCAGCAGCTTTGGGGACGGCAGCTCCCTCCTTGGTGGCGGATGCTGAAACTGATGGCTGAGAGTCCCTGTAAGCAGAAACACTGATGTTCACACACACAGAGATACAAACTCCTGAAGGGAAATCTCTGAGCCTTTGGATCAGACTGCGCATCTCTCAACACCATGTGCACTATCTGAGATTTTTATTTTTTCATTTCCAGGAATCTAATGGGCTCAGTGCTACCAGCAGTATTCATCAACTAGTTAACTTCGTTAACTTCTCCTGCCCAGTTTGAATCACGTTTTTACACAGTCTGCGACTATGCACTGGAAACCAGGTTTATTGAGCTGTTTATTGAGGGTGGTGTAGAAGTCTTTTCTGTGCAGATACTCCTCACAGTGGCTTTCCTGGACCTGCCTCCACACCTTGGTCATGGTGTTGCCCTCATCAGCCAGACCACCTGCTTGTCCACAGCACAATCGTGTGATGCCGGTGAAACTCAGATTAAATGCTCTCTAGTATAACATTTAATTAGAAATGATGCAAAGACTCACATTAGTGTTAAGAGGGCAGGGAACGCGGCTCGGTGAGCTGGGCTGAGCTGGTTAATTATGGCTGCTTCCCACGCCACAAAGCGACCGATGACATGTTGCTCAGACTCCTTAGCAGCTTTCCTGCGCGCGTTACAGGCCAGGACCTCTGTCAGCATGGAGTACCAGCCGGACACGTGGCAGATCTGTCAGACCGTGTTGGAGTAGCCACAGCGGTACAGAAAAGTGTCCTTCTGGGCGCGTGCGGGGCACTCGGACCTGGGACAGCGAAGGCTGTAACCCCACACACCTACTGGCCTCCAGAAAAACACACGGCTGCGAAAGAAGGAGTCTGCTGAGGGCACCCCCCCACCACTCCAGGATACTTGGGGGGATCAAACCACATCCTGTCACCCTTGAGGACTTTCCTCTTCCTGATGTTTCCGTGCTTGTCCTCATAAGACATTTCCTTCTGGAAGAGCCCTCTTTCAGACATCTGCTTTGGGGAGCCCGTGAGGACCAGACTCCCACGATTTTATCCCTCAAATATTATCTGGTAGCATAACAAAGACAAAAACTTAATCTACCAGCTACTGTGTTCTCTTACTATAAATCTTTTTCCTTCACTAGGCTGCATATATTACCTCAGGTTGAGCAGCCGCTGCTGCCGGGGTCACAGGGGCTTTGCTTGGCAGCAGCGCTGCGCCAGTAACATCAGAGGTCCTCCCATGTTGACCACCAGGTGCTGGAGTAGGACCCTTAAAAAGACAAGTGTATTAGTATAAAACTACATTATGATGGTCATGATCTATGAACTGTGGCCTTACAGGTGGCTGTGGAATGGAGTCTGTCTGTGGCAGGTGTGGAGGCTCTGGTTCAGCCTCTTTTCCGGGAGGGGTTGGGTCAGTGTCCCCTGAATGGAAATGAGGACAAAAATCCTCAGTATTATTCTCAAACTTTTTTTACTTGATACTGATTCTTAATGATGACTTAATATGAGGTTCATGATGTAATTACATTAATTCAAGACATAAATGATCAAAATCTGACATATCTTGCCTTTCAAAAGTGGTGAGAGCTTCAGTGCTGGTGGTGGTGCTGGATGATGTGGCCATGCTGATAGCAGTGCTGGTGGCGGTGCTGGACGACGTGGCGGTTGCTGCGGAAGGGGCCACTTTCTGCTGAGGTTTCTGTAAAGTACAGTTTAAGTACAGGTTTGAGGCATCTCTTATAAACTGCACCCTGCTTTTTCCTTAAGGTGCCTTAACCTACCTCTGTCTCTTTGGTGACAACATAGAGTCTGAAGCGCTTCAGCAACTTTGAAGAGATGTCGTCCTCCTTCATGACGAGCCACTGTCGAACGGAGGAGAAAGCCTCCTGAGCCATCTTCCTCTCATGGTCACTCCCAGCCTGAGGGTCAGCTTGGAGGTGCTTGTGAAGGCTTTACCACTGCCACATTTCCTGGAATGTGAAGGACCTGAAGCGGCCCGGTCAACGTTGATCTCGAGGTGGCAGGAGACTGGAGGAAACAACTGCACGGATTTGAGCAGGTAATCCTTCACCCTCTCATCGCTGATTCCAGCTTTCCTGTCTGGTTGACGGCTCTCTTTGATATGGCAGTCCAGGATGCTAAAATATAAAACATGATATTCAATATAAGAAAAGACAAACTGTACAAAGTTTGATTGATTGTTTAGTGAAACATACTCACTATTTAACGTATCCTACATCATTTTCCACCAGCCACTTGAAGCTTTTGCCATTGTACTTTGTACAAAGTAATAATTAGCTGACCAAAAAACTGCTTCTCTGTCGGAGTTGCCGTGATTATCTGGCATTTCCTTTTAGCTGCAGATTTAAGACATCAGAAGTGTTGTTATAACTATAAAATAACAATAGAAGAATTCTGGTGCACATGGACATGTGACCGTATGTTGGTTGTGCGTCTTGGACACCTATGCTGATATATTACCTTCCTCAATAGCCGTCTTGGGATCCCTCAGCCTGCTGTCGTCATACGTTTGGGATGTTTTTGACGACTGGCATGCCCTGGCCTCCTTTGTTGCCTTAAGAAGACGTTGTTGCCTATCCTGTGGCACACTTGTGTCCAGAATACACAAGACAGGCATCAACAGATCCATTCCAGGTTTCTTAGCTGAAAAACATTAAACTCTTAAAGTGTTATGATTATGTAATGACACACGCTGGAAGAAAATTCTTTAGAATTGGCATGAGGAAACACAGGTGGTAATGATGAAGACGGTGAAGATGAATATTCCAGTCTTCCCCTGTGACTCACCTGCTGAATGACGAGCTGTCTTAAACTCCATCCTCTGTCCTCACTCTCTGTAAGAACATGTTAGGCCAGTTAAAGAGGGCTTACTTAAATGTGCATACTTTTTTCTAGCTCACACATACAGCCAGTGGGGTTCTGAAACTCTTTTACAAGGGTGAGAAAGACGTTTAGAAGCCAGGTGACACGTTTTGGTGGTACAATGGAGAATGCTTGTGTTATTATTTGAAAAGACTTTTAAACATCATATGTTTACTCAAACACTATCCCAGCTGCAAAACGGGGCTCCTCATCGCGACTGATCAATATGGCAAAGAGCATCTGCTCATAGAGGGCCCTAGAAATGGTTTTAGAAGAAGACAAGTTTGGAAAGATGATGAAGAGTTTCCCTCAAATCTGGCGACAGGGAGTTTGAAGAAGAGGGGGGCTCGTATGTGTTGCGCAGACCGGCATTAATATGTGTTCAATGGGGCTGATTTACCATAAATACTGTTCGAAGTGGAGTTATTTCTCTTAATCCACAGTTAACGATCAGCCACAGGACGCCGGCGGGGGCAGGTGAGTTAGCTAGCTCCGAAAGCTCAGCCGCGCTGTAGACTCTCCGCCAGTACACGGAGTACAATAGACGGCCCGCAATTGTCTACAGTCTAGAAGAGGATTGCACTGCGCCCGAGCCCACATCTGCAGAGGCAGACCAATAAACTGTGCCAGGTTGTGCAGTTCAGCAGAGACTTCTTCCACTTCCACAAACTACAAGCGCACCGCAGTAATCACTCGTCGTGGTGGCCAGTGCACAGGTGCGATGTGAAAGATACGAGCTCTTTACTTTGGGAGTGTATCTCACAGTAGCAAATTTTTATATCATAAGGACACGAAAAGGGAAAACGTGTCTGAAGCTCTACAAAGTTGATGTACAGGATTTTATATGACAGTTCTCAAACAAATGGTACGCTGGCCGTCAGCTCCGGCGGCCTGTTTTGACCAGTAAAGCTTCTGTGGGAGCACATTTATAAGGCTCCGTGCGGCTGCTGCTGGGTTAAGATCGACAGTCTGACAGACAAAGGTTAACAAAGACAATACACGTTAAAGGCAATAAACTTGAGCTGGGCACTGAAATGAGTGTAAAATTCAAACACCAGCTAGCAGTGTGAAGCTACTTCGTGCTAATCCTAGAGATGCTCGACTTCCAGCTTTGTCCAGTTCTAAAGACACGTTGTCCCTTTATGTGTCCCTGTGACATAAAAAATAGCTACTGTGGGATACTGTCCCACAGTAGCTATTCAAAGTATCTTTCACATCTTAGCAGACTGGTTCACCAGGGCCCGTTTCAGAAAGCAAAGTATTAGAGTCTGACTTCCCAGTTTCTGACCACACACAGACGAGTTTAGACATTTTGTAACAGTGAAAATTAAGGGGAAGTGACCACGTATACATTTATATAAGCCTCTGAGCTTCACAGTCAGTCGGTGTCTTTATCAGCTCTGCTGCAGTTTGATCATTTGAACAAGAAGAAAGTTTAATCAGCTCATTAAAAACCTAAGGATGGCAGTTTGGGACAAAAAGGTTCCCTGGGGCTTCCTGTTAATGCTGACTGGTAAGACATGGACTTTATGTTACGTTAATGTTTTCTGAAACGCTACACATCTTTACTGATATTTTTCCCATCAAACTGATCAAATCGAGAAACAAGATCATGCAGCTCTGAAACTGTTCTTCTGTTTTCTGTTTCATTGCTGGACGACACTTTAACCGTCTCTCTCTGCATCTTCTAACTCAGCCGCCATCACTACGCTGTTTTGTTTCAGGTGCTGTGGGTCAGAGTGTGAACTATCCAGCTCCTGTTTGTGCTGTGACAGGATCGACCGTCACCCTCCTCTGCACCTTCACACCTCTGAGGTTTGTCGGTCAGGATGGAAGAGAAGTTTCTACAGAGATCATCAGAGTCGTCTGGTGCCAGAACCATCAGATTTGTCAGGGCTCTACCCCGTCTGTGTTTGACAGCAGTTCAGGAAACAACAACCCTCGTTACAAATACCTGGGAGACAAGAAGGGAAACTGCACTTTACAGATCACAGATGTACAGAAGGAAGACGAGGCAACTCTTCGCATCAGAATAGAGGCTGATGACAGCAGAGCACATTTTACTGGACAACCAGGAGTGAACGTCACTGTCTCTGGTAAGAGCATCACATGATAAAAAACATCAGCAGTGAATATTAATAATCATTTATATTCTGTTCAAACTTTATGTAGCGCTGAGTCAGAAACAGCCTGTTCATATTCACACAGTTCCAAACAGTCACAGCTAAAAGCTGCTCAGAGCAAAAAACCACAGGATCTACTGTCGGTTAAACGCCTCTCACCTCAGAGGCTGGAATGAGCGGCGAGCGCTGCTGGTTCAGACCTGCTTTACAGCGAAAATATAAACAAGATAAAAACTAAAGACTAGAAATAATTCAAAGGAAACATTAAAAGTTAAGATTCAGCAGAGATGGAACTTTTTTTCTACAATTAGACCAAAGTGATCAGGGTTATTGTTCAAAAAGTACTGAAACACCCACTGAAACCATTTCACCAAGTTCTATCATGAAAACTCCAAATGAAGTTAGCAGCACTTTGTGTTTGTATAAAGTATCTGATGTGAACACATGAAAACCATCAGATGTTCATAAACAGGCTGTTAGAGAGTCCTCACGTCAGGCACTGAGCTAAATGTCAACCTATTCGCTGTAAGGCTCGCCGTCAGGCGGGGGGGGAAAGGGTCCCGATGACCCCGGCCCAAGGTCCAGGGCCGAGGTGGAAAGAGCACCAAAATATTCTACTTAAGTAAAATTACTGTTCCTTTAATGAATATTTACTTAAGTACAAGTAAATTTACTGGTATAAAAATCTACTCGAGTAAAAGTAAAAAGTAGCAAACGTTAGTAAAAGTTACTTAGTTACTTTTTTACTTCCTAAAATAATTTATACTGATTTAATTAAATCAGATTTTTTGTGATTTGAAAAGGGAACAAAACCTTTAGATGTTTTCAATTTCAGTTTGTATGACAGATATTTTGCCAAAGCAATGGCGCAAAACAATGTTGAGACCTTTTATATTATTCTGAGAAGTTTTGAGAATGTTTTTTCTTCATGATGAAACTGGCGGAACAGATTAGACTATGACTGGGAAAAAGAGAAACACTGGACTGTTTATGAAGTCATATCCCTGTTTACATTCAAACAAGTGGTCATTTTAATGGGACTTCATAAGCGTTATATCATTAATTTATAACTAACATAAGCATAATTAACTAGTTACCAGCAGGTTGCTAGTGCCGTCCAACATCAGTGATGTCATGTACTGATGTCTATTTAGTTAATTTGAGCAAACTTCCTCCTCTCCCTGCTCTGTCCACTCCCTCTCGCTGCGACGGTTGGTGATCGATCCCTCTGGCTGGACTGTTAATAAAATAAAACGCTCGTGGTTAAAGAGCTGTCAAATCCAAAGGATGCCACTGACTGAAAATAGTGAAAACTGTTCACCAGTCCGGGCTGACGTCTAATCATCTTTTGTTTCGTCCAAACTAACAAACAAAACCCAGAGATGTTCAGTTTACTGTCAGAGAAGACAAAGAAACGCAGCGGTTACGCACATTCAGAGAATAAATTCTAATAAATTAATTTATAAAAATGTTCCAGTCGATTTACTAATCATTTCAGCTCCAAAAATAAACCACTTGATGACATCAGTGAGTGACTTTAAATGTGGATTTCAAGCTCTGACAAGTCTTAAACATCACGATGAACTGAAAAGGAATTTTTATATTGAAAATTTATTTTATATTAAATTAATTCAGATGGGACTAGAATGGAGATAAAGAGCTCCAGAGGAGACGGAGAGCTGAGAAGAGGTGAAAACGTCACTCTGTACTGCACTGCACTCTGTACCTTCCACCAACTGAACGTCACCTGGTTCAGAGATGGCCACGCCCTCTCAGAGTCTGGCCCCGCCCTCCAGCTCGGCCCCCTGACTGCAGGGGATTCTGGGAACTACACCTGTGGTTTGAAGGTGAACGTCAGCAGCCTCTCCCTGCCGTACAGCCTGCAGGTGGAGGAAGAAGGTTTGTTTGCTCAGTTTTTATCTGATATAATATAAATGTACTATTAACTTAAAGCATTCATGCAGCACACCTGGACACACCACCGCTCACTGAACAGATCTCTGCCTCACTGCCACAAACAACTGTCTCCACCTGCTGGCATGTAAAGCCGTCTGCTCCCAGCGCTGTTCCACAGTCTTCTATTCCTGTCATCATCACGCATAGACCAGTAAACCGAAATGTGCACATCCCACACAGAAATATTAGTAATCTCTTAAGGATTAGGACAACTGCACCAACTCCAGCACCCAGAACATACTCATTTAAAATGGCTCTCTTCAATGTGAGATCACTGTCAAGTAAAACTTTTATCTTAAATGATTTTATCTTGTCTGCAAATCTAGATTTTATGTTTTTAACTGAATCCTGGTTGCAAATGAACGACTATAGCCAGCTAGCTGAACTGTGTCCGCCTCAATATGATTGCTTTAGTCAACCGAGGGTCAGTGGTCGTGGTGGTGGGCTAGTGAGCGTGTATAGGAAAAATTTTAAATGTCATCAAGTACGCTGTGATGAATTTATCTCCTTTGAAGTTCTCACTCTTAAAGTTGGAGGGCTGCAACCTGTCATATTTGTTATAATTTATCGCCCCCCAAAACCACCTGGAGGATTTTTATCAGAACTTCCTGAATTTTTATCTACTCTGGTTTTAAATTATGACAGAGTTGTTCTTTGTGGCGATTTTAATATTCATGTTGATGACCCCAACAATGTTAATGCAACTGACTTTTTAAATATGGCCACTTCTTTTAACTTCAAACAACATGTCAAAGATCAAACACATAACCGTGGTCATACACTGGACTTGGTTTTTACCCTGGGTGTCAGCATTTCCTCTGTGGAATTAGTGGACATGACCATATCTGACCACAGATGTACTGTTTTTAGCTGCGATTCGCCTGTTACTCACGCCGCCTCACCAAGCTCCGTGTGTTCTCGCATGTTTAATGAACAAAGTGTTTCAAAGTTTTGCGCATTCTTTCAGAGCCAAAGCCAACACCTGTCTGATTCCAACACCAACAATCTGGTCGATCACTTCAATCATATCTGCTTGTCGTCACTAAATATTACTGCTCCTCTAAAGGTTAGGCCTACGTCTAAAGCTAGTAAGCAACCCTGGATAAATGACAGCATTCGCAGCCTCAAAAGGGAATGCAGGAAAGCAGAGCGCAGATGGAAAAAATCCAATCTCCAAGTCCATTACCTCAGTCTGAAGGATTTATTAATTAACTACAATAAAATGGTTAAGGATGCGAGAACACACTATTTTTCTGAACTCATTACTACACATAAACACAATCCCAGGTTTCTGTTTAAGACTGTGGATCAGCTGGTAAACCCAACCCCTCCTTGTGCCTCAGCTGGAAGTAATGATGACTGTGAATTGTTTTTATCTTATTTTACCAATAAGGTGGTGTCAATCAGAGCCTCTATTACCCCCGTGGCCTCTTACTCAGAGGTTCCTCACCAGCAACAACAGAGTTTTAACCAGTTTTATCCCATCGACTTGTCTGAGCTTTTAAAAACAGTATCACAAATGAGAGTGTCCTCCAGCCCACTTGATGTAATACCTACAAAATTTTTACTAAAAGTAATAGATTCTGTTGGGCCCCATTTGATCTCTGTTTTCAACAGCTCCCTATCTACTGGTTGTGTCCCTGATTATTTTAAAACGGCTTGCGTAAACCCACTTTTAAAGAAACCTGGTTTAGATCCCTCCCTCCCACATAATTTTAGACCAATTTCAAAACTGCCTTTTATTGCAAAGATTCTAGAAAGAATTGTGTCCAAACAGCTGCTCACTGTACTGGAAAATAACAAAATATTTGAAAAGTTTCAGTCTGGTTTCAGGAAGTACCACAGCACTGAGACTGCCCTGCTTAAAGTCACCAATGACCTTTTAATGTCTGCTGATGAAGGTATGTGCTCAGTCCTTGTACTCCTGGACCTTAGCGCTGCGTTTGACACCATTGATCACAACATCGTGTTAGACAGACTGAGGCACTGGGTGGGGATCTCTGGTACTGCTCTAGAATGCTTTTCATCCTACCTGTCAAATAGGAAGTTTTGCGTGTCTGTAAACAACTATGTCTCTTCATTCTGTCCAGTTAAATATGGTGTGCCTCAGGGGTCGGTCTTAGGACCCATTTTGTTTTCCTTGTATCTGCTTCCCCTTGGACATATTATCCATAAACATGGCATTTCTTTTCATATTTATGCTGATGACACACAAATATACTTGCCCGTCAGATCCACAGACCCTGGAATGCTGAGTTCACTTAACAACTGCCTTTGTGAAGTTAAAAAATGGATGTCAAATAATTTCCTCCAGCTGAACTCAGACAAAACAGAAATCCTGGTCATTGGGTCCCAGCAGATGGCAAATCAAATACTGCCATCTGCTGGTTCCCTAGTAAATCACATTAAGCCTGTGGCAAAGAACCTTGGTGTTTGGTTTGATAGTAATTTAAATTTCGAGCAGCACACCACAAAGCTTGTTCAATCATGTTTTTATCAACTGAGAAATATAGCTAAAATTCGATCTATGTTAACTTTTAAGGACACCGAGACCATTTTACACGCCTTCATCTCATCACGCCTGGATTATTGCAACAGCCTTTTCACCTGTTTAACCCAAAAATCTACTGATCGACTCCAGACTGTCCAGAACTCAGCTGCCAGGCTTTTAACCAGAACAAAGAAATATGACCACATTACTCCTATTTTAGCTTCATTACACTGGCTCCCAGTATGTTTTAGAATTGACTTTAAAATTCTATTGATCACTTTTAAAGCTCTTCATGGCCTCTCGCCTTGTTATATTTCTGACCTTTTAGTCCCATACGCACCAGCACGTACCTTGAGATCCTCGGGCAGAGGTCTGTTGTCTGTTCCAGAGTCTCGACTGAAAACTAAAGGGGACAGAGCGTTTGCTGTCAGGGCCCCGAGGCTCTGGAACAGCCTGCCCGAGGAAATCAGGTCGGCTGAGTCAGTGAACTCTTTTAAGTCCCTTCTTAAAACATACTTTTATAGGAGAGCTTTTCCCGATCTTATTTGACTTTATTTTATCCCTTTTATTTATTGTATTTTACTAATTTTATATTAAATTTTCATGCTCTCATCTTTTTTTTGTATTATTCTTTACACTTGTTAAAGCACTTTGTAACTTGTTTTTGAAAAGTGCTCTACAAATAAGGATTATTATTATTATTATTATTATTATTATTATTAAAGCAACATTACTCAGTGACCTCCACTGGCTCCCCGGGGCCTCCAGAATCAAATCCAAGTCCCTGATGCTACATACAGGGTGACTGCTGGTTCTGCATCATCTACCTGAACTCCATAATTCAAGCTCACGTTCCTTCTGGGCTGCTGCGCTCCTCCATACCAGGGTATTCATGACTTTCAATACTGTCAAAAACATGCTGCTCTTTCCAGTTGAGAAGTTTCTCACACTTGTTTCACCTTCAAAAATAATTCCTGACCTCTAAATTCTACTGTATTATGTGTGGACAGAGTGGGCCTTCCTGATGTTTGATCAGTTCAGACTTTGTTTGAATGTCCAACAGCTTCCTGTCTGTCTGATCTGATTCACAGGATCCAACAGTGGATCAGTTGACCCTCTGCTGATTGCTCGTCTGGTTTTCTTCACTCTGCACTCTGTGCTCATTGTCATAGTGGCATCCGTCATCATCAAAAGGTAACGTTCACCTACAAGAACCAAGTCCATGTCAGTCTGGTTTCTGCTGCTTCCTGTATTCAGCACTCAGTTTCTATGCGGATGACTCAGTTGTTTATCATGCAACTACAGAAGTGGCGCTGGGGCAGCTGTTGCTAAGGTTGCACATCTGCGGTTCGATCTCCAGACTGCATGTCGAAGTGTCCTTGGGCAACATACTGAACCCAAAATTGCCCCAGATGGCTGTTCCATTGGTGTGTGTGTTAGTTTCCTTTCTTCTTGGGCTCAGTGTATGAAATGTTGTGAACGGGTGAATGTGACGTAGTGTAAAAGCGCTTTGAGTCCAGGAGAAGCCTTTCACATGGTAAAATCAGGTTATCTCTAAACCTCCTTCAGTTAAACTCAGGTTAGAACTCTGATCATGTTAGGTTCAGAATCCATTGTTAGTAGGGATGGAGATCGAGACCTGGACCAAGAAGGACCTGATTCCAAGTATCTCAGACCCCAAAAATCAATAAGGTCCAAGCTTATTGATATTGCTATCGAGTCTAGTGGGTCCTACTGTGTAACATTATGTCTCAAAGAGAGACAACACTCAAGTCATTTAAAGCAAATCTGATTTAACCTGAAATGCGATGAATGAGAAAACTAATTGTGGCCAGGCTGGTGGTGGCGCTAAAAGAGGAATCACCACCAGAATCTAACTATCCGGCAACGCCACCTGGGGACTTCCACCCCAGGAAATGCTCTTTTTCTACTTTGACTAAACCTTTATACAAAGGCTACACAGGTTTATTGAAGTAAGACAGAGACGTGGCTCCAAAAGAATAACTTCTTTATTGATAATCGGTAGCTGGAAGTGCCTGAAAAGAGGATGGTGAATAATCTAAATAAATAATCAAAATACCATGGAATATCAAAGTTTTTTTATTACAAATTTTGCAAACAAGTTTTTATTTTTAACAAAACACACTCCCAGTTATTACTGATTATTGGACCAAAGTGGGCCAGGGCCAGCTGTGGGGAGGCAGTCTAACTAAGGGTGTGCTCCAGGGGTGCACCAGCTTACCCACCGCATGTGCTCACTGCAATTGATGGTCACTGCAAACTGGTTCAGTGCAAATTGTGTCACTACCAAATCGTGCCCCAGTGCCGTTAACACTACAATCAGTGAGGGAACCCACACTAGCGTGCCTAGCCTCCACCAAAAGCCTAGCACCACTGAAAAGAACAAAACAAGTTAAATAAAACACAATGGACCAGTTGGTTATATCTAAAATATAAACATAGTCAACTAGGGGAGTGCCGGTTGGAGGCACTACAGCCAGAGTGTACCAGCAGCAATGGTTAAAATCCTAATTTTACAAAGGCAAAACAGCAGCTGACCCCTACAATTAAAGACACATACATATTAACAGATTTATAAAAGCAAATAACAGTTACCTCAGGTATTTATCATACTCTACTTGTTGCTCCTTAAGCTTCTCGTACCTTAACACAGTGTGCTCTGTGAGGAAAAATACATCACGCCACTCCAGACAGGGAACCTTGGAATCAGCCAAACTACATAACAGGCAGGCAGCCGACTGCTGCAAAACATACAACCTCAGTCACTGGGAAAAGACAATGAAAACATAAGACAAGGTTTTTACTCACTCACCTACCTAGACATCACAGAGGGTTCATGTGGCAACAGACAGGCAGGGAAAAAGCAAAGAGGCAGCCATCTTCTTCTTCTTTTGATTTGATTGGCGGTTGGCAACCAGCATTTAGGAGCATTACCGCCACCTACCGGACTGAAGTGTGGAACAGATTATGTGCAGACTAACATGAAAACAAATAGACAAATAAAACAAAAACAAACAAACAAAAAAAATAACAAAATAAAAATTTAAATCCTATATCCTTTCCATTAATCCCGTATCTTTCAGATATTTAATGAGGTGCTTAGATATGAACTTAAGCTTAGCTTTCTCTACAACTGCTGCTATTCTCCTCCTGGCCTCCACATGGCCTCTACACTCAACCAGCACATGCTGAATACCATTACATTTTATACAGTTGGGTGTTTACCTATTTTATAAAGTGAATGGTTAAGCCCTGTGTGTCCTATTCTTAGACGGGTAGTTACGGTCTCTGTCTTCCGGCACCCACCCAGTATATATATATATATATATATATTTTAAGCAATGATGTTGTAGTGGCCCCCCAGTCCCTTCCTGACAGACATCTTAAAAGGTTATTGATTTTTTTGCATTTGTCTTTGTCCTTATCAGTGTGCTGTTTCCAGGTCAACTTTTCATCAAACAACACTCCTAACAGTCTGACAACTTTGACTTGTTCGAGGGTTTGATCATAAAATTTTAAGGACACTTCTTTATGTCTTCTACTACTTCTTTAAACACATCACTTGTGTCTTTGCACCTGACACCTTAAAACCCCAGTTATTTGCACACTGTTCCACCTCCACAATTGCTGCCTCTAATGTTTTCTGAATAAATTTCAAATTTCGTCCTCTTACCCATAGGGCGCCATCGTCTGCATACAAGGGCTTCCCAATACTTCTTTCCACTTTTGCAAAAATATCATTGATCATGATGTTAAATAGTACTGGACTACACACACTGCCTTGTGGAGTACCATTTTCAACTTTATGGAGTCTTGAATATTCTGTGCCCACCCTGACCTCTATTGCCCTGCCAAATAAAAAGTCCAACACCCAGTCATACAGTCTACCACCTACACCGAATTTATTTAATTTAATAAGTAACCCTTCCTTCCATAACATATGGTATGCTTTTTCAATATCAAAAAAGACAGCTACCACAACCTCCCCATTTGTCTGAGCTTTTTTGATTTCAGATTCCAAACATAAAATAGAGTCCATTGTATTTCTCCCTTTCCGAAACCCACTTTGATGTGGTGAGTACAGATCTCTGCTTTCTAGAAAGAATGTTAATCTGTCTGTTATCATATGTTCCATGGTTTTCCCCAACTGTGACGTGAGTGCTATTGGTCTGTAACTTGAGGGGTCTGATGGATCTTTCCCAGGTTTTACTATTGGTACTATGATTGATTGTTTCCATGCTATTGGTATTTTGCCTGTTTCCCAAATCTGGTTAAATAATCTTAAAACTACAGGAAGTGCACTATCTTCCAAGTGAGCTAACATGCTATAACAGATGTTGTCCTTCCCTGGAGATGATTGTCTTGTCTTTGAGATAGCCCTCCTTAACTCAAATAAGCTAAATGGTACATCTAAATCATCAGTTGTTGTGCTCTTCTGTATATTGACACCTGGGTTCATGGCAAGAGTGTTATCTCTGCACTTTTTGGCTTCGACTAATATATTATCTGAACTGTTTACTTTAACTAATGTTTCTGCCAACATTTCTACCTTCTCCAAATTACTGATTGCTGTTTTATTGCCACTTATTAACACTGGTATTATATAACTCCTTCTGATTCCACTAATTTTTCTAACCATTCCCCATTTATCAGCCAGTGATGTCTCTCTTCCAATCTTATTGCAGTAATCCCTCCAGTATGCACGTTTTGTTGCTCTTATAGTCTTCCAGACTATGGCCTCTGATCTTTTGTAATTAATTAATGTCTCTAGCGAATGATGTTTAACTGCCTAAATGCCTTGTTTCTTCTTTTAATAGCTTTGCTACATTTTACATCCCACCATGGTCCATTCTTTTTCACTCTGCTCCCTGTACTTCTTGGTATCGTTTCCTCTGCTGAATTTTATTGATGTTTTAATTCTCTGTATTTCTACAGCTTTCTTACTAGCCTAGGCAGACTTTCCTCATCAAAAACAATCATAACAGACAAGCTGTCACATCTTTCACCATTACGTGTTGTTTTCAGGCGTTTTGCCTCGGCTACCCGTGCTCCTACCACATTTTCATATTCGTGGGTATTCCCGAAATGACTCCTCGAACCTTCTTTGTATTATTGTTGATCTTTGCACTCGCTTACCTTCAATTTTGTTAAGCAGAACAGCCTTCCTTTGCTGATCAGTGTCCCTGCAAAAAACCATCAGTGCTCCATTTCTCATTACTCGTGCACTTTTCACATTGCCAACCAACCTGTTTATAGCTTTTGTTAAATGAACCGGGTTCCACTCTCCCTCCTGAGTCATTTTAATCATTACTTTGTACTCCTCGTTTCTACCTTCTGTTGAAGCTAGATGTTGCTCATTATCGGTTTCCTCTGAGTGAGAACTCTCATTTTGCTTACTCTTTTTCCCCGATTTCCGTTTGCTATTTCCCTTTTCCACAATTTTCCATTTTTCATTTCTGCCGCCACCTGTTTCCATTCCTAATTCACTTCCTGATCCGTCACTTCCCTCTGCCATCCTCTGTCCATTCACAGTCCGGTCGTGCCCGACCACCCTACCATCGGCTGTCCAACCGCCAAGAGGCAGCCATGATACTACAGCTGCTTTAAATAAGCTCAGGGGTTTGATCTGGGTGGAGCTAATTTGATGCTCCAGAGGTGCATTCAAGAGCAAGGCTAAAAACCTATAAGCCTGCATAGAAAACACACACCACTACATAATGATATTTCATGATGGGCGCTGAAATGCGGTCGTTCGCCAAAGACCGTGGTGTTTATTATCAGTGTTTACTCTCTGTGTCGGCTCCTACATAAGCACACAGTTACTCCAAAGTACTCGAGTTGACGACGGCTACGCTCGTTACTGTAAGTACGTGCAATAAAACGAGTGTAAACATGTAGAAAGCGTTATTTTTATCTGCTCTGTCCTCAGTCTCTCATCCTCTATGTTATAAAAGCACTAAGTCTTAATGTTCAGCTTAGTTTGCCATGTAGCTTCAAACTTGGCACGTTGTTACCTGCAGTGAATCACAGCAGAGGGGGAAGGACTGATGCCGTATGCAATGAGCCGTCTTCTTCTGAAAAACATGCAAACCTTGAAGACATGTTTGTTTGGTTCTTGTAGCGCCGCATGTTAGAATTGGGTTAAATTCTCGATATGATTCCGATGATGAAAAATGCCAAATCGGCCAATACTTTATGGGGTGGGGGCGGGATATGAGCCGTCCGCAGGGGAAGCAGCGAGGGTTTGTAATCAAGTGGTGACGACAACAATTCAAAAATAAAATATTACAATCAATATAAATAAATTTGACGTGTCATGCGAATATGCTTACAGAAATATTTTAATGTATGTGCAATTCACCAGTGAATGTTTTGCAACAGGAGGATGATACAGTTTTTCTCGATTGCTTAAACACATTTCTTGAAGTGATGCCTCCTTTTCTCAAAACTCTAAACACAGATCCAAAACAGATCTCAAGGTCAAAGTGAAGCACTGCCCTCAGACAGGACACACACACACACACACACACTACAACACAGTCTTACACACTGGGGAGACAAATTCAACACAGTTTTACACAAACTGGTTCTAAGTGATGTTGCTCGTGGTTCTCCCCCTCAAAAGCCTTTTAAAAGACACAACAAATGTAAATATTTGCACTATTTTTGTTCAATCAGACTTTATTTCAAACCTATTGTACTTCATTTATAAAGTAGACTTATACTATATTAATACATACATACTATATTTTAGAGTAAAGTCAGATTAAATATCTCAGATTTTGACTTTAGTTTTACATCTTTACAGGACGTGTTTGCAGGGAAGCAGCAGCAAGTGCTGAAAGACGCGACGGTGCAGGTGAGTCACTGACACATCAGACAAACTTCACACCTCTTATTATATTTAACATTGAACCTCCGTGTCTTTATGGAGGGTCTGAGCGTTCAGCCCTGCTCGCCTCTTCTGACTAATTAAGGTAGCACAGAAAGAGGAACCTTGTTTCTGTCAGAGGATGATGACACTTTGGGAACATTTCTGTCATTCTGACTGTCGTAATTTCCATTTCACATCAATTTAGCTCTTTTGCAACACGTCCTGTGAGAACACACCACCCTTTCTAAAACTTCCCTGGTGACAAATACTGTGTTCTGCTGTACTTTAAAACAAATAAGGAACTGAGCTCCCTTTTACCTCTGTGGAAAGTTATCAGGCGTTACAAACCAGCAGAAGTCTGAGTGACACAAAATATTAGAAAGTTCTCAACCAAAGTAAACTGCACCACTTTCCTGTCTTTTGGCCTGAATCGGGATGTCATGCGGCTCTTTATTAACACTTTCCCTCCCCTTTTCTGGTCGGCAGCGAGACTCCGTCCTTGTACTACAGCAACTAATGAAGTCTTATGAAGCTTTTTGTGTTGTACTTCGAAGCAGCGGAGATGTTCGAAGCTTCAGACGTCATCAGTCAGCTGGTATTCTTCATTAGACACAAAGAACTGACACAGGGACTTTAGGATCTTTAGGGTTTCAGTGCCGTCGACACGCGAGCGCACAGCATCGTCTGACAGATGCAATAAAGCCACCGGTGAAGATGGAAGATGCTGCTGAAGATGTGAGAAATGAAAGGTCAAAGGCCCGGTGCAGTGGTTCCCAGCGCGGTGCTCAAGATCCCCCAAACGGTTACAAGATAAATGTGAGGAGTGATTAGATGAAGAGGACAAAAAACACATTTCTGTTGGAAACATGATCCAAGACACATTTCTGTAATGTGTCATTGTTTATGGTTGTTTCAACAAAATATGAAAAATATGAGCCCATTTATGACTTCACAGATTCAGTAAATAAGTGTTAGATGTTTGGGGATCAAAAGTCTGGTCCTCTCTTCTCTGCACTGTTACGATCCTGTAGGGGCAGCTTTGGTTATTAGCAAATGTTGAAGATGTTCAGTAATAAGTTATTAATATTACTACTATTATTAACAAAGATTAATGATTAAAAAAATATTTGAATCGATGGCCGCTTAGGGCTTCCATAGATACCAACGTCTCACATTTACCTGCAAAAATAAGAGCAGAAAGAAAGAATTGTGGTTGGACATCAAAAAACCGTCTACTGACAAACAGTTTGCTGCCAAAACGTCCAGAGAGAACGTCAGAAACACAAGGAGGACGTCAGAGAGACACTGAGACACAGGCTGCTGCATCCCGCTCAGCTGCAGGACAGAAACAAGGTCAGCTGGTTTAAATATGCAGGGTCAGGGTCAGGGTCAGGCTCAGGGTCAGGCTCAGGCTCAGGGTCAGGGTCAGGGTCAGGCTCAGGGTCAGGGTCAGGGTCAGGGTCAGGCTCAGGGTCAGGGTCAGGGTCAGGCTCAGGGTCAGGGTCAGGCCCGCCAAGTCCTGGAGGGACAAAGAAAAACCCTTGAACCAGTGTGTGAGGATCTTTCCTGTGGCGCCCCCCTCAGGACAAACTCTGAATCACAGCTCCACTCCTGCTGAGCCTCCTCAGAGTGACCTCAGTGAGGCTGTGACTCTGCAGCAGGACTTCATGGTAACTCAGGCTGACCTGAGAGCTTTCTACAGTCTGACCGCTGCTCTTCATCAGCCGCTCGTCTTCCTCTCTTCATCTCATCTGAACTGTTTGAACTCTGCTTTCTGTTCCAGCCTCCAGACTCTGTGGAGCAGCTGTGACGTCCAGACGGCCGAGGCCAGACTGTCTGACACCCTCACACCATCATGTCGGTCCCTGTTTTACAGCAGGAATGTCTTTTAAATGTTCAGTGTATTTATGTGAATGCAGCTAAAGTCCACTGTTTACCTGTTTTGGCAGTTTCAGTTTCTGGGGCCTCATGTATAAAAGGCTGTGCAGCTTTCATACTAAAAGATGGCGTACTCTCAGAATTTGTATCTAAGCACAGAAAAATGTATAAATAAAATGTATAAAACCAGGCGTACACCAGTAAAGTTTTGGATTTTTCATCAGTTTTCATTTTTATTTCGTTTTGACTTTTTGATTTCAATTCCAGTTTAGTTTGAATTAGTTTTTAACATGAATTTGCTTCAGTTTAGTTTTTATTATTTGAAAATACTTAGTTTTAGTCTTTGTCGCTGCGCGATGCCAAGCTCAGTCCAGTTTAGTTTATTCACCAAACATTAAAATAAAAGTACAATCATTAGAAATCATGCAGATTTGTGAAAAGGGACGCCTTTTTTAAGCTATCTGAAGCTTGTAGGGGCCCAAACACTAAGCACATATATATATATTTGAAGTATTAACACATAGTCTAAATAAATACCACAAATCTATGAAGCACATGCTACATCTACAGTATAATTTCTAACCCACATACAGAAAAGCCTCAGAGCTAAACTACCCTGATCCTGCTACCCAGTGATCCCTAGAGATTCATTACATCAGTCTCTGGCTCTGACATCATGGTTAAATAGATGAAATACAATAAATGGAGGTGTTGGACAGCTAAGAAATAAGAGGATAGCGGAGGCCCCTCTTGGATCCACAACCAACAGGTCCCTAGCACCCTGAAGGCAAGTCTGACTGGAAAGCAGTTACATTAAAATCTAAACCTTTATTAATCAAAAACTAGATTCTATGTTAAAATAATGAGCAGCAGACAGTTAACCCAGAGCTCACAGTCAGTGGGCCAGTTCATCTCACATGCAGGACGAGCTCTGAGCCAGACCATCAGAACAAGGAACAGAAAACCACCAAGACTAAACTAAACTAAACACAGCTCGGGACAGTTGTTGCATTCATATTATTTTGTTCACGTTTGAATAAAAGATAATAGAAAACATGTTCAAATCCCACCAACCACCAGCTGATCCCTACCTGGTCTCCCCGGCTAAGTTAGCCTCCCCTAACGTTACATGGGCTGTCCTCCAAACAGCGGTCGCCAGCCGCTACGCTGCGGCCTGACGCCGCCCTGACCCCGGGCTCTCTTGATGGATAAAGCAATCGTGGTAGGTTTTCTTGTAAAGCCTCGTTTTTATTTTTATTTCTGTTAACCACAATGTTTTTTCACATCTAGATTTCATTATTTCGTTCGTCTTTGTTTACGATAATAACCTTGACGCCAGGTCCTGCACACCTCTCCTTTATACATCCTGCTCAACGTGAGCACACATGCACGAGCCACGTACCCTTCCTTGGCTCCTCCCATAAATTACTAGCAAATGACCATAAAAATGCGAACTTCACCTCTTGAGGTCCAAATAACAACGGCTGCTGCAACACAGGTGAAACAGAGAAACTACACTGAGTGTGAAGTCGAGGTGCTGATGACTGGAGTGGAGGAGAGAAGAAATATTTTATTTGATGGTTTCAACTCTTTGATCAGCAACAAACGCAAAATGATGGACGGAGAGGCTGTCAGCTCAGAAACTCATGGCTGAAATAAAGGAAACATGGCCTGACATAAAGAGTTTTTTTCTGATACAGAGATCGAGGTGCCTGTGAGGTGGAAGTTAGAAAGCACATATTGTTTGGTTCATATATTATTCTAACCAAAGGTTTTAGGTAGAAAGTTAAACTCTATATATTGGTAATCATATCAGACACAGCTGCCGCTGGAAACAGTGGGTATTGCCTACAGGTATTTGGGACGGTCCCGTCAGGTCGGTCTGTCTAATGCTGGACCGAGTTCAGCACACAGAGGCTGACAGCTACAGTTCAGTGATTTAATTAAACAAAAGCGAGCCCACTTACAAGCAGAGTGGCTGAGTCCAGCAAATCCATGATAATAAACAATCCAAATGAAAGAAGTGATCCAACAGAAAATCCAACATCCAAGAGAACAAGCAGGGGGGAACGAACAGGGAGAGGATATCACAGGAGACAGAGCACAACAAGCTACGATGAGGGAACACAGACTGAGGGAAGCACAGGCAATATATAGACACAGGAGAGAGACATCAAGCACACAGGGAGATCAAGAGGGGGAAGCAGACAACACAGGTTATTAAACACAAGGCAAGAACCAAAACACAGAACAGCCACGACCGACCAACAGAGAAACACAGAAAGACAGAACAGACTAAGATAACTGAACAGAACAGAGCAGCCTAACACAGAATGATCAAAACCAAATGAACAACAAATCAGGCGGAGATCACAATTAACAGACAGAAACCAAGCATGAGACAAACACCAGATCATAACAGAATAAGACCGAAAGAAAGGCGGGCACAGACCAACACTGAACCACAGGCACCAGGAAGTAAACTAACACCTAGCAGACTGGACACGAGACATCAGACAGACAGGACTGAAAACACATTGTAGAGGGACAAAACGCTCGACCGAGGCCCGCTGGAAGCCCAGATCTGTCCTCAATACTTGGAGGTCAAAAGAAGTTACTGGAGTCAGTCAGAGATCGATGCAATAGAGTTTATGTCAAAGCAAGACAAAATCCGAGTGTTAAAGCCCACTGAAAACATGGTGTGGAGCTTCTCAATATAAAGCCCTCGGCGCTCCCTAGAGAGGTGGGGTCTCTGTGAGATACCGCCTAGTATTTAATTTACTGTAGCCTTTTGTTAGTTCTACTGGTGTAAACTTCTTCTTGGTGATCTCCTTCGGGACTGTCCTGAACCCCGTTCCTCAATATTTTATTCCCTTAAATCCTAGTTCTCATGTTTTCCTTAAAAACATTAATTAATCTTTTTTGTTAGTTAACTTTGTCAATCACATTATTTGGATGCAACTATTCCATGGTCATATATTTTTAAGACATTTATGTGTTTTGATACACCAGTAGAACTGGTTTTGGGTCAGGCACTTCCCAGGGTAGGGACCCCCTTGGGCCCCCTTAGGAGCGTCTCTGATCATACACCATTAGCTCCCAAATTTATAGGTCCTGTTTTTTTAAAAAGATATATGTTCCTATGACCATACCTTCTGTTATATACAGAAATACAATCTGGGTACATGATCGTCTCTCCTTTCCCACAGAATAGTATCCAAGTCTCTACAATATACCTGACCTGAGGGTCACGCTGGTCTCACACAGAGGGTAGAGTCACACCTCAGACTACTGTTTAACACTCAGATCTAACTAGGGATGTTACTTGCAGATACAAGTGTCAAAACATAAAACATAAGGCATAACATACTGATAGATGATACTTTCTGGATAAATGGATGATATGGAATGTATTAAGTTGGATAAAAGATGCATTCTTACACAACAACATCCTGAACAACAGACACAGAACCGACTAAACTAATGTAATTAATGTAACTAAACTGAATAGAGCCGACAGCAGGCACACAGTGTTATTTATACATCTTTCGTAAAATTAGGCTGTGATTGTTACATGAGGGTGATTCACCGTTAATTCACTTCAGCAAAGAAAGCGGCGTGCGTGCTGTTCCTGTCATCACCATTGAAGCAACATCCTAAAGTCACTTTAACTCAACGATCAGGAACTTTCTTAGTCCCTCTCAGTCTGCGGGCCGAGGCGCCATGATGGATTCAGCAGGATGTAACTTCTGCTGTTAACAGCAAGGCTCATTTTATTTTGAAATCTTTTATATGTTGATCATTTCTTTCTTTTGTTTGGCGAATTTCTTTTTTTTTTAAAGTCCAAAGAGACAGAGAGCTAGCTGGCTGTCATCAAGCCAGCTAGCTGGACTTACCTGTTCGTTGGTCCTTGAAGGTCGGCTATGTTGAAGTCGGACGACGGCGGAAATTCACGACGGGAAATGTACGCAAGCGATTTGAACGGTTTGAAGTTTTTTTTTTGTTGGTTTTGGAGTTTTGTTTGAAGTATTTTTGGTTTATTGAACACAGACAAACACACACAGACACATTTATCACGTACCTCAGACGGGCTGAGCCGAGGTTTGAACCCACGTCTCCAGGTCGCCGGTCGACGTCCTTCCCCACTGGACCATCTTCAGTACCGATGAAGCCCAACAACCAGAGAGAGGAAGAAGATCAGACTGAGGGAGGAACCTGCAGAAGATCCATCTCCATCAGTCTGGAGAGGAAACTCTGGATGATGGACTTCAATCATTTGGTTAGTGAGCTGCTCGTCTCATCATTTCTAATAAAGCAACTTCTCCAGATGGTCCAGTAGTCAGAGCTGCTGGTTTGCACTCTGAAGTCTGGGTTCAAGTCCAGGTTTGGGTAAAGATTGTGAAACTCCTCTTCCTTCTTTTTTCCAATGGAAGAAATTAATCGAATCCACAACTTCTAGACCAGAACTTTCTGAGCTGCATCAGATCAGAATATTATTAAATCTGGAGTTCAGAGAAGAGAGAAGAAGATCAGACTGAAGGCTTTCATCAACCTAAAAACTTTAGTTCAAAGTCCAAACACGGTGAACAGAATGATCTGGATCCTGGATCAGGACCAACTGTGCACCAGTTGCAGCTGTAAGCTTCATGTTTCTATGTGGACCCTGGTGGAAGCTGTGCAGGTTCATGCAGAAATTAACAGATGGACTTTCTGGCTTTTGAGTCATGTCAGTTCAAGATTCACATGATGTTCCTGCCCTGTTGGCCCATGTGGTCCAGTGGTCATGTTCCTGGTTTTATACCTTGGACATTTAGATTCCAGTCTACTGTGGGAGAAAGATATTGTCCTATAAATTCCTGACATTTGGGGCTCTGAAGTGAATCGCTGTAAATGGATTTTCTGAACTTCTGAGTGGTGTGAATATGATGAGGAGGGTTCCCTGTGTTCTCTGTGGGCTAATGGTCAGTTGTCCTGCTTCTCAACTGGAGCTTATGGGTTCAAGTCCACCACGAATGACGTGTGCTTTTAATTTATGTTCATAATTCTGATCATTTAAAATCCCACAGTTGACAAGAGATGCAGACAGATTCAGCTCTGATTTCTTTTCCCGCAACGGAAACTGGACCAAGTCCTGCTGGTTCACACTTCCCCCCTGAAATATCCGTTCTCAAGTGGAGCAGCAACTTCACAAGTGT